AATTCATGTAATGTCTTGCTTAATACATTACTATCTTCATTCTTATTGTCTTCAGTTGGATGTTGAGCGGTTTCCCACTCAACCAGCTTTTTCCAGATATCACATTCTTTCATATCGAGGTTATCACATTCAAGAACTAATTTTAGTGCATCTTCTTCTAATGAAAGGAACTCTGAATCAAATAATAAATTAGGCTTTTTGCAAATGATTTCCAAATAAGTTTCTTTAAGTTCATTGAATTGTTTATTATGAGTAACAAAATGAACCATTTTAATGGGACTTTGTTGTAATAATTTACTTCTATTTTTTGTTAAAAGTTCTTGAACAAAGTTAATAAGTTTTTGAATTAAAGGTTCATCTGCAGCAACTAGAAGCTCTAAGATTATTTCAACTTTTTGACTGTTCACATCCACTATTCTGCAATACAAAAATCTATTCAAATATATACATAATATGGAATTAGAATCCTAAACTGGTTGTTATAAAAGTTTAGTACGTATATTACTTACTTGAGAATAATATTAAAAATTAATGCACTTATATTAGGCTTGGATAAAATAAAATAACCATATTTTTTTTTCAGCCCATTCATCAGAAAATGCTCTATGAAAATAAGGTGATCTAGCACGAAGAATAGCACAATGAGCATGAATTGATTCGATATTTGGTTCTTCTCCGACAGTGATAATTGTGTCATATCCTTCTTTGGATTCATATAGCTTTTCAAGGTCCTCAGCTAGGTCTTCAGAAAATTTTTCGGCCATTATGTTATCTTCTAAATTCGAATATTAGATATTGTATATTACAACAATGAATTACAGATTAAAGTCAGGATTTTATGAAGATATGTTTCCGTATTTAGTTTTCTAAATTTATTTCGTTATTTTGTTTTGTGTATCCTCGTGAGCCGGCTTTACTTGTACGTAAACCAAAAAAGGAAATCGAATTTTGTAAATAAACTAAGTGCGTAAAAATAAAAGTTTAGGATGGTTGTGAGCTTTAGCAAGTTGAAGTTTCTCATATGTAAAAATTTCATCCCCGTTATTTTTTGCTAGTCCAACAAGGTCGATTTAAACACTAGATTGAATATTTCTTTTTTTCTTCTTTCGCACGTGTTCGGATTCTATGTCGGCTGATCCGGAATACTCAAAATTTGTGTTCTCTAATTGAACATTTCCTTGTTAGAAGTTTATACACAAATAAGAGTAAAGCCCTCGTGAGCCACTAGTGCTTCGAATAACCCGAACCGTAAAATCGGTTTGGGTCAAAAGTTTCGGATTAAGCCTAATTTTGAGATTTGGGTCCAGTTTTTTTCTTTCACATTGCATTAATATATAAATTCCAAGTCGACAATGTTAAAATAGTTAGCCATTAAATACTTCGGATTGACTCCGGATTCAACCCGAAATTTCGGATTCAGCCGGTTTCGGTTCAATCCCAGATCAACCCAATCCGAATGAGCCTATTTCTCCTAAAGGAAATCGCCCAGGAGAGATCCTCTTTAAAATTTATTATCTATATTAGATTATTTTTTTCGAAGTGTCTCTTAAACCAAGATTTTATAGAATTTGTCATTTCATAAGATATTTTAGGCTTCGGATCTTTCATACGTACTAAAATCTGGTCGTAAAAATTCCATACGTAATTTTTTTTAATTATACGCGGCAGTTGGTGAGAAACATTTGGATTTTTGATGTGGGTTATAATTAGCTTCATCAACAGTTATCGCTTTATTCCACATTCGTTTAATAGAAAAGAAATTAAAGATCATCGAGAAGATGGAATATCGTTGGAGATCTATTAAAAGGAAATATCCAGTATTTAATAATTAGTTATTACAGCTAAACAACGATTAGAAAATGAGATTTAATCATGAATATTTGACGAAGTTTTTTAGATTCAAGTCCTGATTACAAAGATCATGATACCGATACTTCACATCACACTAATCAACCATAATTAAAAAATTCTAAATTATTAACATTAAATAAATTTATCCAATAAATTTAAGTACTATAAATTATAAATGTTAACATATTGAATGAAATCTATTGTTCAAAGACATCTAAAGAAATTTCCACTCAAATCGTGTCCGTTTTTGTTTTCACAAAGCACATACCCTTTCGTTTCTTCATAACCTTTAGTCTATATTATTATTTAACAGTCCAAAACAATGATAACTCATCAAAGTTCCCTATTAAAATACGCGTAATAATGACTTTAAAAGTTTATGTGATAAATTTTAAATAAATTTTCAAATATGTTTAGCTAATAAAATAAGTATGTACTGTATAGTTTATAAAAAAATTCTTTAATAAAAGGCGCTTGTTCTATAGTATAGACTAGAGTTAATACCTTACTATGTTTTTATATCTGGATTTATTTTATATCCGGATTATATCCGGATAATATTACTATGTTTTACTATAAATTTTTAGCAAAATATCAATCCGGATATATTTATATCCGGATTGAAGTACTAACTCTAGTATAGACTGCTCTAAGGATTACGATACGATTCCCCGAAAAGTTATTTCCTCGACAACGTAATGTCGACATGAGATTTCATCATCTACAGAACTTTTTTCGATAAGTCATATATTTAATATTACCGGTACATTTTTCCACAATACTTTTCTTAGAAAGGCATTTTTCCGACAATTATTTTCTCAATATATAATTCTAACCAACGGCTAACTCTAAATCAGGCTAAACCGGGTCAATTTTATTTCGAGGAAATGCTAAAATGATCGTCGGGGAAATGTTTTGTCTAAAAAAAGAATGGCTGAAAACATGTCAAGTATATATCTTATTGATAAAATGCTGTAGAAATAACATGTTGGTATTACGGTGTCGAGGAAAGTTGGTGGGAAGGAATTGAGAGACAACCTTTAAACAAATGCGCAGGAATGATAATATGTATACATTATTTGATATCAGATCGCTGTAGCTGGTTACCACGTCAATAACCTAGCATGTAATCACTGTAATGAAATAGTATAGCAATCAAAAAAATTACATTGCATATATTAATAATGACCTTCAGATTTTATGAATAAAAAAATAAAAAAAATTTGTATGCAAAGGAACGAAGAAATTACATGATTATCATAATTTAAATCTCAATATAAATGCCTAACATGATAGAAAATATGGATCCGTGCGAAAATATAAGAAAACAATCATTCCAAGAAAATATTGTAATTATAAAAAGGGAATAAAATATTATAATCGACAGTCTCGTTTGTTTTTTTGTCCTCCCTAATAATAGACCGAAATTTTTATTTTATGCTGAATTTTCTGTAACGTTGCTAACTACTTGAAAGACTTCATAATCTGAGACTGCGAGTGAACCTACGTTTAACAAACTAGGGTAGCATTTTGGTTTAAGTTGCCAAATAATACTGTTGTTTGGAACGTGTAAATCAGGGCCATCTCCGAAACTTGGGCCATGACTATTATTGCAACCAATAGCAACATTATTAAGATCATGATTAATGCGTGACACCTCTGATTTTTCGAGGTCATTAAGATTTACTATAAATAAAAAGCTATCTGTTGTTTGTTTATATATATTTTCACCATTCCAATCAAGTGGATTGTAACCACCAACAAGTTTATTTGAATAAAGTGAATTCTGACCTTTCGCAACTACGATTGTTGCCCCTTTGTTATCACATTTTCGATGAAAAGTTTTTGAAGAAAGACCATCTAGACTGCTTCGAAAAAGAAGCTTAAAGTTGTATTGAAATCCTTTCGAAGTCTTATCATCTATGGTTTTTTTATCTATCCATTTCATCAATAATAATGCAATCTCTTTGTTAATTAATACTGAGTCGATTTTAAAGTTGCCCCATCTGATGACGTGAAATGGGTTGTATAATGGTTTTGCATCTGAATCTAAAAAACAACGTAGTATGTCTTCAATTAAATTGTCAGGAAGGAGGTACTTATGCACCCATACATCAGGAATGAACTCTTTATGATCCATCTGATAAAATCTAATGAGTTTAATTAATTCATGTAATGTCTTGTTTAATATATTACTGTCTTCATTCTTAGTGTCTTCAGTTGGATGTTGAGCGGTTCCCCACTCAACCAACTTTTTCCAGATATCACTCTCTTTCATATTGAGGTTATCACATTCAAGAACTAATTTTAGTGCATCTTCTTCTAATGAAAGGAATTCCGAATCAAATAATAATTTAGGCTTTTTGCAAATGATTTCCAAATAAACTTCTTTAAGCTCATTAAATTGGTCATTGCGAGTAACAAAATGAACCATTGTAATGAGATTTTTTTGTAGGAATTCATCATTATTTTTGATTAAAAATGCTTGAATAAAGTCAGTAAGTTTTTGAATTAAAAGTTCATCTGCAGCAACTAGAAGCTCTAAGATTATTTCAACTTTTTGACTGTTCACATCCACTATTCCGCAATACAAAAATCTATACAAATATATAAATAATATGGAGTTATAATCCTAAAATGGTTGTTATAAAATTTTAATACGTATATTACTTACTTGAGAATAATATTAAAAATTAATGCACTTATATTAGGTTTGGATAAAACAAAATAACCATCTTTTTTTTTAGCAAATTCATCAGATAATGCTCCACAAAAATAAGGTGATCTAGTGCAAAGAATAACAGAATGAGCAGGAATTAGTTCAACATTTGGTTCTTTTCCAACAGTGATAATTGTGTCATAACGTTTTTTGGTCTCATATAGGTTTTTAAAATCTTCAACTAGGTCTTCAGAAAATGTTTCGGCCATTATGTTATCTTCTAAATTCGAACATTAGATATTGTATATTACAACAATGGAATTACAGATTAAAGCCAGGATTTTATGAACCGTATTTAGTTTTATAAATTTATTTCATTAACTTGTGTATCTTAATTTGTGTATCCTCGTGAGCCACTACATTCCTATTTTGCCTAAAGGAAATTGCTCAGGAGAATCAACTCCGATCTATATTAGATTATTTTTTCGAAATGTCTCTTAAACCATATAAACAAGGTTTTATAGAACTTATCATTTTTCACAAGAAATTTTAAGCTTCAGATCTTTCATACTTACTAAATCTGGTCGTAAAAAGTCCATACGTAATTTTTTTTAATTATGCGCAGCATAGGGATGGTACATTATTTAAATCACAATGTTATAAATCACTGATTTTTTATTTAAATCAATTTAAAGCTGATTTAAATCGTTTATTACGTAACGTATTTAGAAGAAATAAATATATTTTTTAAACCGCAATGGCAATGATTTTATTGCACTTTGCAAAAAGATGTGACCTCTGCAAATCACAATGCCATGTGAAAATCGGAGATTCTGTAGATTTTAAGAATCTTACTAATTTCAAATAAATATAAATATAATTGATCGAAAATATGAATTAATAGACAATTTAAAATCTCGGAAATTTTCCTTGTTCATCATCACGAAAATCATGGGATCTCTCATCTTTTTGCAAAGCGCTATAAATCATTTGTAAATCATTTGTAAATCATTTTTTAAACATAAAAATCGATTTAAATCATGATATTTACCATCCCTAACGCAGCAATTTTAGATGATGAGAAAAATTTAGATTTTTGATGTGGGTTTTGGCCTTGCTTATAATTAGCTTCATCAACAGTTATCGTTTTATCTGAACATTACAACAAAAATATTCCACATTCGTTTAATAGAAAAGAAATTAAAGATCATCGAGAAGATGGAATATTGCTGGAGATCCATTAAAAGGAAATACCCAGTATTTTAATAATTAGTTATTACAGATTAGAAATTGAGATTAAATCTTGATTATAAAATAAAGATCATGAGACCGATACTTCACATCACACTAATCAACCCACAATTAAAAAATTTTAAATTATTATTAACATTAAATAAATTTATCCAATAAATACAAGTACTGTAAATTATAAATGTTAACATATTGAATGAAATCCATTGTTCAAAGACATCTAAAGATATTTCTACTCAAATCGTTACCTTTTTGTTTTCATAAAGCACCATGCCCTTTCGTTTCTTCATAACCTTTAGTCTATATTATTATTTATATTCAACTCAAAGAGTTATTCATTTTTCATAATACTTAAAAATAGTGATTTCGAAAGGTTTTAATAGTCCAAAACAATGATAACTCATCAAAGTTCCCTATTAAAATATGCGTAAAATATTGACTTTAAAAGTTTGTGTGATAAATTTCAAGTATGTTTAGCTAATAAAATAAGTATGGATTGTATAATTTATAAAAAAATTCTTTAACAAAAGGCGCTTGTTCTATAGCTATAGCCTGCTCTAAGGGCACGCGCAGGATCCGCGCGGGATTTTCAATACGATTCCAGATAAAATATCTGGCCGGCATTGCTATATCATCTGGCTGGTATTAATCTAATATCTGGCCTGCATTAACATATTTACCATAAATTCTCGAAATAGTGGGCATGGTGTATAAGGGTAAATCGTGACTTGGGATAAAATTTTCTGTAAATAGTAGATTAGGTATCTTTACTGGAGAATGTGGCACATGTATTTGATACAAAATTGTATCCAAAGTCTAAGCAGATACAAACCTGTATCCGATACAAATTTGTATCCTATCCATTATCATGTAATTTAGCCGATTCAAAATTAAAGAAATTAGTATATTTTATACATAGTAAAAGTAGTTTAATAGTGAACGCAGCCCTATGTACGCAGCATTGGTCTAAAGTATTTAAGACCTATCTTTTCGCTTCAATAAAAGATAACTCAGTGAGAGTTTGTAGAACTCATTAGAGTTAGACTCAATTAGAGTCTATATTGCTGACATTAAAGTTCCACTCCAATTACCCCCCGATAAATTAAATTCGCATATAGTAATCTAAACCCGTGATCCCGAAGTAGAGCCTCGTGACGTAATCCAGAGCTCTGATAACTCGGACCAAGTCTTCCACGCCTCTTTCGTGCCTACCACCATTAGGATTTAGATAGAATTTAGTAGTGTTTAGATTTTAGTATCGATTGATATCCGTATCACACATATTCCCGATTCCGGATTAGTTCCCACGTTTACAATGGGCGTTATTTCGAATTTTGGCCCAAATTAAGCTTAATTCGGGCCGAAATTCGAAATAATGCCCATACCCCTATTTCGAAATTTTACGGTAGAACAAGAAATTTGATAACTTTTTCATCCACAGATTTGTGATCCTATCCCGCTTGAAGAAACTGCGATTTGCTCATCTCTAAGGGTGTTCTCCAAGCAACTCCCTCAATGTGATCTGATAGTGATTGAGATGATGCTCAAATTATTATAATTGATCATAATAATGATTGCAATCATTGTTTGAGTAAACGTCCTTGCTTTACTCTATTATCGTTATATCTTCAGCAAATCGTAAAAAAAAAGGAGGCGACTATCCAACAAACTAATGTAACTCCTTTTGCAACACCTCAACAAACAAGTAACTTCAAGTGCTTTACGAATATTCATATGTTGTTTATAGCAGCAATATTCACAGCTTTTTTCTCCTTTAACTTCGAACAAAACCAACGCCGAAAATAATGAGGCATTTCAATATTAAAAAATTTTAATAAAAGAATAAAATAAATAAATAACTGAATATAGTTATTTTTTGACGTAAATAACAATTGTTAGCAAGTTTTGCTCTTTAAGTTTCCTGTGCGATAAGTGTTTCGAATATAAAAAGCAACGCAATAATTTTTTGACGCTAAAAAGATCCATGACGTAAAGCAAAGTGCTTGAACAATCTATTAATAAACAGTTTTGGCCAATCAGCGTTAACTCTATGAAAAAAAAAGATGGTCTGCGCCTTCAGACTTTTTTCAATGAAACGGCAACTCACTTGATCAATTTTTTCGGGCTCCGACTATTTGAAATTTTATTTCCGTCCAATTGATTTAGGCGCTTGAGAACATCCTAAGGATTATGGTACAATTTCCCATTTCTCCGACACTGTAATGTCGACATCAGATTTCACCTACAGCACATTTTTCGATAAGACATATATTTGATTTTTACAATCCTTAAGACAATTATTTTTTCCTGATATATAATTCTAACCAACACTAACTCTAAATCAGGCTAAATCGGGCCAATTTTATTTCGAGGAAATGATCGTCGGGGAAATGTCTTGTCTAAGAAAAGGATGTCGAATATATATCTTATCGAAAAGATGTCTGTAGATGAAATAACATGTCGGTATTATGGTGTTGGGAAATAAGTTGGTGGGGAAGTAACTTTCGGGAATTGGAATTGAGCGACAACCTTTTTACAAATGCGCAGGAATGATAAAATAATGATTTGAGCTGTAGCTGGTTATCACGTAATCACTGTAATGAAATAGTACGTACGTACGTATAGCAATCAAAAAAATTACACTGCATTATATTAATGACTTTCAGATGTTATGAATAAAAAAATAAAAAATAATTTGCATGCAAAGGAACGAAGAAATTACATGATTATCAACATCTAAACCTCAAATATAAATTCTTAACATGATAGAAAATATGGATCCGTACAAAAATATAAGAAAATAATCATTACAAGAAAACATTGTAATTATAAAAAGGGAATAAAATATTATAATCGACAGTCTCGTTGGTTTTTTTGTCGTCCTTAATAATAGATAAATTTCTTGTGAAAGAATTTTTTTATGCTGATTTTTCTGTAACGTTGCTAACTACTTGAAAGACTTCATAATCTAAGACTACGAATGAATTTAAGTTTACAAATTTAGGGTAGCTTTTTATTTTAAGTTTCCAAACATTACTGTTATTTGGAACGTATAAATCAGGACCTTCACCGAAGCTTGGACCATGACTATCGTAGCAACCAATAGCATAATCACTATTATGATTAATGCGTGACACTGTTGCGTTTTTGAAGTCATTCTGATCTAATGCAAATAGGAAGCTGTCTGTTGTTTGCTTCCGTACATTTTTATCATTCCAATCAAGTGGATTGTAACCACCAACAAGATAACTTGAATTTTGAACTTTCGCAACAATAATTGTTGCCCCTTTGTTATCACATTTTCGATGAAAAGTTTGTGAAGAAAGACCATCTAAACTGCTTCGAAAAAGAAGATTAAAGTTGTATTGAAATCCTTTTGAAGTCTTATCATCTATATTTTTTTTATCTATCCATTTCATCAATAATAGTGCAATCTCCTTATTAATTAATACTGAATCGATTTTAAAGTTGCTCCATCTAATGAGAAATGGGTTGTATAATGGTTTTGCATCTGAATCTAAAAAACAACGTAGTATGTCTTCAATTAAATTGTCAGGAAGGAGGTGTTTGTGCACCCATACATCAGGAATGAATTCCTTGCAATCCATTTGATAAAATCTAACGAGTTTAATTAATTCATGTAATGTCTCTTCTAATGTATTAAAGTCTTCATTCTTAGTGTCTTCACACATATCTTCATTCTTAGTGTTATCATACATATCTTCATTCTTAGTGTCTTCACACATGTCTTCATTATTAGTGTCTTCACATATCATATCGCTTTCAAGCATTGTAAGTTGAGCAATTCCCCATTTAACTAATTTTTTCCAGATAACACATTCTTTCATATCAAGATTATCACATTTAAGAATTGATTTTAATGCATCTTCCTCTAACGAAAGGAACTTCTCTGAATCAAATAGTAAGTGAGGGTTTTCGCAAACGATCTCCAAATAAACTTCCCTAAGTTCATTGAATTGTTTATTATGGGCAATAAAATTAAAAATTTTAATGGGACATTGTTGTAAGAAAGTAGAACTATTTTTGATTAAAAATTCTTGAACGAAATTAATAAGTCTTTGAATTAAAAGTTCATCTGCAGCAACTAGAATCTCTAAAATTATATCATTTTCTTGGCTTTTCAAATCTACCATTCCACAATACAAAAATCTGTTTAAATATATATATATTATAAAATTAGAACTTTAAGATAATTTTTGTTATAAATTTTTTAAACATTGCTTACTTAAGAATAAATTTGAAAGTTAATGCACTTATATTAGGTTTTGATAAAACCAAATATCCATCTTTTCTGTCAACCCATTTATTAGATAATGCACTACGAAAATAAGATGATCTAGTACAAAGAATTATAGAATGGGCATAAATTTTTTCAACATTTGGCTCTTCTCCAACAAAGATAATTGTGTCATAATGTTCTTTTGTTTCATATAATTTTTTAAAATCTTCAACTAGATCTATAGAAAACGTTTCGACCATTATGGTATAGTCTAAATAAATAAAACTTTGGGTTTTTATTTACTGTAATTAACCTTACAACGATAAGATATTTCCAAAATTTTTAGTTTATTAATATATATGTACGTACGTACGATGTATTATCATGTCAAAAGTGTAATGACGTAGTTGTAATAGTTGACAAGTAACTATAAATATGATGGAATCATTACTCTATATTCTTGTAATTATCAGAATTGCCCATGCGCATTTCAAAATAACGCCCACTCACCTTTTATTTGGGTGTGAATATAATATATAAATCAAATGTACATACGTACTAGGGTGGTAACTCAACTAAGTAAATCAAAATTATGTGAGCAAACTATGGAATTTGTTCTATTGCAGAAT